AACTCTCTGTCTCTCTCCCTTCCTCTCTGTAAAAAAATCAATAAAATATATTTTTTTAAAAAATGGAGTCAGGGTGCCTGGCCGGTGTAGCTCAAAGAGTCCCATGCACCAGGAGGTCGCTGGTTCGATTCTGGGTCAGGACACATGTCGAATTTCCCGCTCCATACCCAGTAGGAGGTGTGCAGGAGGCAGCGGATAGATGTTTCTGTCTCTCCCTCTCCCTTCCTCTCTCTGAAATCTGTAAAAACGTTTTTTTAAATAGAGTCCAGGGTGCCATTCCAGAGGAACTGCCTTGTTTATCTCACTTTTCAAACCTTTTAAAACTGGGCAAAATGACCTTTCGACTGGGCCTAGCAGCACTGTATCCCAAACTGTTTGCAAAGATAACAAGAAAGCAACTAGAAAATTGAACACATTCCTTAGAATTAGCATCCCTATGTTAGCTTATTGCACCTATAGAAATTCCTTCCTTAGCTTATTAACTCCACTAAAAATTCCTGGGGGGAGGGGAACGGAGTGGGCTAGAAGAGGTCAATGGGGGGAAAGGGGGTAAATATATGTAATGCTTTCCACAAAAAAGATTAAAAATAAATTTCCTTCATCACTCGAGCCAGGTAGTTCAGTTGGTTAGAGCATGTTCCTAATACACCACATTGTGGGTGCAATCCCCTTCAGGCCACATAAAGGAATCAACCAATGACTGAATAGATAAATGGAACAACAAATCAATGTTTCTCTCTCCCTCCCTCTCTCCCTCAAATCAACAAAAATAAGTAAATAAATAAATCCTTCCTTCTCTCCACCTGTAATTATTCCCCTTCCCTGTCTCATAAATCCCCCTCACCTCTTAATCAGCACATTATCTGGGTTTCTGCCTAAATCAGTGCTTCCAAAAGAATGATTCTTTTGGGTCTCAAATAAGAGCTTGTTGCCTCACTCTGTCCTTTTAGTTTTAGGTGACCGCTCCAATGGCCTCCGAAGGCCCCTTCTAGGCCCCCGCTGTACTTGTGGCCTCGGTGAAAGGCTCCTGTGTGTGTCCCAATGAGGCCCTTCTAAGGGTGTCTCATTCTGAAAGTTCCTCGGAGAGGCATCATTCTGGAGACCCTCTGACAGTCTCTCAATCTGAGGGCTTCTCCAGAAGTGCCTCAGCCTGGGGTCCCTCCGAGGAACTTTCTGGAGCTCCCTCCTGGGGTCACTCACTGTGGGAGCCCCCCTGGAGTACCTCTGACAAATGACCCCTGGCAGTCCCAGTCTGGGGGTCCCTCTCAGTTCGGAGGCACTTAGAAGGTCTCAATCTAGGGCCCTTTCAGGGTGCGAGGTAGGAAATGTACATGTGCCTCTGCACTAATAGCTGCCCCAAATGGACACCTGATGGTCGTGCAGTAACAGCCCCTGCAAGTCGGCACCCACTGGGCTGTCCCACCCCTGCCCCCTCTGGTGACGGGCAGTGCAAGCCACATGCCACTCAAGCCAAGGACAGAGGGAGGGGCACCATGGTGCTCTAATGTTCTGCTTCCTGCAGCACCTCCGCCATCATTACCCCGCAGTCCTCGAACCAGAAACTGTGTCCATCCTTCTGTTCCACCCCCGCTCTGGAGGGAGCAGGGAGCGGAGGAGCGAAGGCCCAGCGTTTCCAAGCACCCATCCAGCCAGTTCATCGGAGGCACTGGGATTTCCATCCAGTCCCACCTGTTCATGACTTTATGGCTTAACCTCTCTAAAATCTGTTTCCGCCTCTTTAATACAGTTCTTACAAATAGACCCAACCTCAAAGGGCTGTGAGAAGTAACTGAGATAATGCAAGAGGATGTTTAGCACTGTGCCTGGCATACAGCAAGCCTGTGGGGCGCGGCCACAGTGTTTTGGACAGGTTCAAGCCTTGGACTGAAGAGAGGGCACAGTCCTCTCATGGCCACGTGCAAGTCCCAGCTTGGAGGGCAGAGCCTTCCCAGCACAATTATAGCCAACAGCTATAGTTATGAGCTTGAACCTATGGTCCGAGCACGTGGCCCCAGGTGCCTGAGTGACATGGCTGTGGGTGTTGGCGCTGTCCACCAGAGAGGCAGTGTCCCACCGAGACCCAGCTTTCATTCTCTTGTCTGTCTTTTCTAAGCCTTTCATCGCCCCCACTCAGGGTCACTGAACCAGGCTGAGCTGGCATGAGCATGCCATGGCTGTGCCAGCTCCCCACATATGGCGCCCAACCAGGGGCTGAATTCCGCAACCAGGGACTGAGTTATGAAGAACGGGGCCTGAGTTCGGGCTCCCCACACAAGCCGTCAGCACGTAGTCACGACTATCATCTCCGAAGGACACAAAGCCCAGGAATAAGAAAAATGGGAACTAAGACCATGCCCCTGAGCCCTAGGAGGCACCAGTAGAATCAGTCACCTCATCTGGCCCAAAGATCTGTCTCTACCTTTCATATATTCATTCACCAACCCATTATTTGTTGAGCAATCTAACCTGAGCACGAGACCTAGGTGCTAGATGCTGCAGAATATTTGAAGATGAGTAACATTCCTGGTCCTCAAAGAGCCCATAATTTTTGGACCCACCCTCAGGTCACAGCAGAGCTTTCCCACCCCCGGGTCTCAAGAGAAGAAATCAGGGTGGGCACGAGCAAGAGACATTGGTGTGTTAAGGAGAAGGCTTTATTTTCAGGGAGTGGAGTTCTGCCTGGTCCTGCCCATCTTATCCCAGGCAACCGAACTTCTTCTGCGGCTCCTCCTTTCTGGTCTCCTTGGCCAGCTCCCCAATCAGACTCCAGTAATTTTTGAACAGGTCCCCTTTCACATTCAAGCTCTTCAACTTCTCATCGAAGGAGCCCACATCCTAAGGAGACACCAAAGGGAAGGGTGAGGTTAGAAACAATGGCTCTGGGAAGGGATGGAGGGAAGAACGGCTAGTTGCCATTCCCTTCCCTCAGGGAGTGTGAGGACCAGACCCAGACCTTCGAGATGAGGCTGTAGCCCCAAGACAGGATTGTCAGGGGGTCCAACTTCAAGGGAGAGGAGCACAGGGAGGTGGGGACTTGATTCATAGTGTTTGCTGGGGTGGAAATACCCCCGCCACAGCAGACAGGGAACCACAGACCTGGTGATGAACATAGAGCTGGGAAGAGATGCACACCGAGGGCCCTCACCTGCAGGTGTAGGTGGGTTCTGAACACGACTGCACCAGCCCTGGTATTTGTGCAAGGATCCTCGGGGAACCCTTGTAGGCATGGACCCACTCTGATCATCCTCAAAGCCTTCTCAGGCCACCCTCCTCACCCACAGAAAGTTGTGGCTGCTCACTTGCCTAAACCTGATGTCTTCTCATATTTCCACTTGAGCCACCAGTCTGGTAGATTGGGGGAATGGCAAAGACACAAGGTATTTTCCTAGAGGGCCCTTGACTAAGTCTCTCATGACAAGCCTGGGAAATCAAAGGATACTGTAAGCTGGACCGTCATGATCAAAGGATTTGTTGCCAGAAAAACAACCACAACCAAAAAGTGGGCTGTTTAACAATGCATCCTTGGCAAACCAGAGAAGGGTGCCTCAGGCACAGCTTGATGCTGAATATCTGAATCAATATTTGGGTGAAGACAGAGAAGATTTGCCTATTCAATAGATGGCACAAAGCTGATCCGTATAAGAGCTACACAAGACTTTTTAAAAAGCTACTATCGGAGAAACTAAGATGGCGGCAGAGATAAACACCGGGAAATTAACGCCGCGCACAACAATTGATTAATACCTCAGAGAAACAATACGGACTTCATCCAGAACCACAGGAAGCCTGGCTGACTGTAAACTCTACAACTAGAAGGAAGGAAAGGCACACTGAGACCCAGAGAAGCTGCAGGAGAGAAGCGCAGAGGTACGGGGCTCTCGCGCGCGGAAAGAGGCTGGCACCCGAGGACACGGCGGTCTTTTTGAATCCGGAGGGAGTCACAAGCTCCCAACGGCTCTGAACTCCGGTTCCGGGAAGTCTCTGGGGACCCAGAACTCATGCGGGGAGAAACTGGACTGTCTGGCAGCGGGCGATTTTGAG